AGTTTTCTTTGGAGCAAAGAAACATCTAGTTGAGGTGTACAAGTGTTGATAAGGAGCAACTGTTCCCTTTAGTTGAAGGGTCAGTCATGAGGGGACACAGGTTCAAGGTGAGGGGCAGGAGCTTTGGGGAGGGATGTGAGGAAAATCTTTTTTACACAGAGGATGGTGACTTTAAAAAGTACGTGGATCAGCACTTGGTACATCATAACATTCAAAGATATGGGCAAAGTTTTGGGAAATGGAATTAGGTTAAAGATCAGGCATTTCTTGTGTTGGTACAGACTTGATGGGCTGAAGGGCCTCTTCTGCGCTGTATGATTCTAGATGATCAGCTGTGATCTAATTAAATGGTGGAGCAGGCTCAACTGCTAAATGGCCTACTATGTTCAGTAGAAATTGAAATGATGGCTCAAAATAGGTTTCGATCCCATAGCGAAGTAACCGTAGGCAACTGATGTGGTTCAGCTTGAAGATATACTGCTCATTGTTCCCCAAAGGATTGCTTCCAAACCGTTACTCCTCACAATTTTTATTAAGGACTTAGATGGGAAATCTTGGGAGTATGGGCAGTACATGTGCAGATAACACCAAACTGTGCAGTGGTTAAGATAGCAGAGAGGAGTACAATCAAATCCAACATGATTTATACAGAGTGCAAAATACAGAGGTTGCTAAAGTGTAAAAATAAAAGCAAAATATTGAAAACATTTAACAGGTCTGACATCTGTAGGGAAGAAAAATATTTCAGATCAATAACATTTCTACCAGTACAAGTTTAGATGTGTTAGGGGATGGGTCAAATTACCATTGGTAAATGGTGTTTAGATCAGCTAAATGTGTGGACATCATGGACATCCAGTGCACCAATCCTTAATGATGAGGGAGTACAGTAGGTCAGCGCAAAAGATATGGCTGAAGTATCTGTGACAGTCTTCAGCCGCAAGTACAGAAGTGGATGGTCCATTTTGGCATCCTGAAGAGATCTCCAACATTACGGATGTCAGGCTTCTGCAAGAAATGACTGAAGGCACTGATTACAGAAAAAGCTTTAGGCCCTGATAATATTCTGGCAATAGTCCAGAAGATTTGTGCTCCAAAACTTGCTGTGCTCCTAGCCAAGATGTTCAGTAGTTATAACATTAGCATCTACACAGCAATGTACAAAATTGCCCAGGTAAGCACTGCACACAAAAAGCAGGACAAATCCAACCCAGCCAAGTCCCTGACCCATCAGTCTCCTCTTGATCATCAGTAAAATGATGGGAGGGGTCATAAACAAGTGCCGCTTCGTAGCACTGTTAAACCATAACTTAATGTCGCTCAGTTAGGGAACTACCAGCATCACTCAGCTCCCGTTATCATTACATCCTTGGTCCAAACATGGACTTAAGAGCTAAATATCAGAGATGAGATGAGGGTAAGAGTGACTGCCCTTGACATCAAGGCTGCATTTGAAAGAGTATGGCATCAAGGAGCTATCGAAAATTAGAGTCATTAAAATCAGGGGGAAAATTTCTCCACTGGTTGCAGTCATTACCTAGCACAACGGAAGATGGTTGTGGTTGTTGGAGGTCAGTCATCTCAGTGTTTTCTTTAATTCATTCATGGGATGAGGTAATTGCTGGCTAGGCCAGCATTTATTGTCCATCACTAATTGCCTAGAGGGTAGTTAAGAGTCAACCACATTGCTGGTGGGAATGGAGTCACAAGTAGGCCAGACCAGGTAAGGATGGCAATTTCCTTCCCTAAAGGACATTAGTGAACCAGACGCGTTTTTCCATCAATTGATTCAAGGTCATCATTAGTCTCTTTTATTACAGATCTTTCCTGAATTCAAATTCCAACAATGGCCATGGTGGGATTCAAACCCAGGTCCCCAGAACATTACCTGGGTCTCTGGATTAACAGTCCAGTGATAATACCACTAGGCCACTGCCTCCCTGGTTATGCAGAAATTCCTTCGTAGTGTCCTCGACCCAACATCTTCAGCTGCTTTATTAATGATCTTTCTTTCATCATAAAGTCAGAAGTGGGGATGTCTGTTGATGTTTGCACAATGTTCAGCCTCATATGTGACTCCTCACATTCTGGATACTGAAGCAGTCCATGTTCAAATGCAGCAAGACATGGACAACATGTAGTATGGACTAACAAGTAGCAAGTGATATTCATGCCATGCAAGTTCCCAAGAAGTGAGAATCTAACCTTCTTCCCTTGACGTGAAATGGCATTACCAGTACTGAATCCCGCACTATCATAGCAATATAGAAACATAGAAAATAGGAGGAGTAGGCCATTCAGTATGATCATGGATGATCAGTAGTCAGCACCCTGTTCACATTTTCTCCCCATACCCTTTGATCCTAGGGGTTACCATTAACCAAAAATTGAATTGGGCTAGGTACATAATTACTGTGGCCCTAAGAACAGGTCACAGGCTGGAAATCCTGTATGAGTAACTTACTGCTGGTTCCCCAAAGCCTGTCCACGATCAACAGATCACAAGTCACGAGTGTGAAGGAATACTCCTTAATTGTCTGGATGAATCCTGCTCTAACAATTCTCAAGAAGCTTGACATGAAAGATTAAACAGACCGGACTTTTATTCTCGAGTTTAGAAGAATTATCGTGATCTCATTCAAACTTACAGATTTCTAACAGGGATCAACAGGGTACAGCAGGCAAGATACTTCCCCTGGATAAGGCATCTAGAACTAGGGACACAGTCTCAGAATAAGGAGCAAGCCATTTAGGACAGATGAGCAGGAATTCTTTCACTCAGGTGGTAAATTCTTGGAATTCACCACTCTAGAGGGCTGTCGTGGCTCAGTTGTCAGCTATGTTCAAGACCAAGATTGATGGATTTTGACACATGCAAAAGGATATCTGGACAGTGGAGGAAAATAGTGTTGAGACTGGATGATTTAGACACGATCACAGTCTAAAGATACAGGATAAGTCATTCAGGATTTTGATAAGGAAAAATGTGTTCACCCAGAAAGTAGTGAGCCTGTGAAATTCTCTGCCACCGAAAATAGTTAAGGCCAAAATATTACATGTTTTCAAGAGACTTACAAAAATTCTTAGGGCTAATGGATCAATGCATATGGGGTGAAAATGGGAACAAAGTACTGAGTTGGGATGATCATATTGAATAGAAGAATAGGCTCAAGTGGCCTACTCCCATTTTCTACATCTCTATCTTACTGAATGCTGGAACAGATTTAAGGGCTAAACAGCCTAGTCCTGCTCCTATTATTTGTATTTTTAATACACATCATATTGTGGACAACTAAGAGGTGATGAGCGAGCTGAAAGGTTCTTTCATCATCTTTCTCCTCCACCCATAACAATAATGAATAAGGCAAATTGGTAGCCTCATAACTGATTGCCATGTTTATTTTGTTGAAAGCAACTCTTGTATTAAATTTCACCTGCTACTTGTCCATCCATCCCTAGCCTCTTAACTATCGTCCTCAAATTTTGACTGTCTGCAAATTTTGTACACCTAACTCCAGATTATTAACATTTGTCAACAAAAACAACGGTCTGAACACTGACCACCTGGGAATCCCATGCATACTATTCTCCAATCCAAAAAAACATTTACAACTGTTTTGCTGTTTGTCACTCAGCAATTTTGTATCCATGCTGCTATTGGCTCTTTTATTAAATGGGTTGTAATTTTGCTAAAAGCTTGCTACATGGCACTTCATCAAATGTCTCTTGGATGTCCATCATACATAAAATGTCATCCACATTACTCATCAAAAACTCAAGCAAGTTAGCTAAACAGAATGTGACATGAACAAATTCTTGATGGGCTTTCTTACGTAGGCCATATTTGTCAACTTCACTATTAATTTTGTCCAAAACCATTGCTTTCACCTCTGCTGACTGACCTGTAGTCAATGGGCTTAATCTTTAAACCCTGTTTTGAATAAAGGCAAAATATTTGAAACTCTCCAATCCTCTGATACCACTCATTTCCATGAGGATTGGATGATATTGTCAATGTCTCTGCAATTTCCACCATTATCTTCCTCAGTATCATAGAATTCCTACAGTGTGAAAGCTGACCAATCAGCCCATCAAGTCCACACCAACCCCTCCAAAGAGTATCCCACCCAAAATTATCCTCCTATCCTATCCCTGTAACCATGGCTAATCCACCTAACCTGCACATCCTTGAACACTGGGCGTAATTTAGCATGTCCAACCCACCTAATCTGCTGGTGCTGTAAAGCAGCAGTGCTCATACCACCCCCTTGGATGCATATCATTCAGTCTTGGCGTTTTACTAATTTTTAGCCCATCCAATATCTCAAATCTTTTACTATGATTTCGGCAACATCATCAGTAAAGAAAGGTACCTCCTCAGGTATGCCCTTACCTTTGTGCACTTTGGTTCTTAATTAGCCTCAACCTTTTTAACCACACGTTTATGCATATATCTGGCTAAGTTACCAAATTAACTCCACTACTCAAAATAAAAGAAAAAAAACAGAAAGTTAGAGATCAGTTTGCCCAAAGACAATCATCAGTACAAGCCTGGAACGTAAGGCTTAACCATCAAACATTCCTCCATTTCACCCCCTCATCTTCCATTTTGTTCTCATCTCCCTTCCCCTGTTTTTTTGGCTCTAAGCTGGTTTAAAATCTATCACATCTAAAAATTTCTAAAAGAAAAGACCGTCACTCTAAAGCATTAACTCTATTCTGCTTTTTCTGCAGATACTTGCACGCCCTGGTGAATATTTCCAGAAATTTCTTTAGAACCTCCGGGGACAAGACAGCTCTGATTGACAATATTTTGACCAATCCCCGTGAGGAAGGCGGGGTCGCAGGGACGGACGGGATTTGCACCAATGTCCTAGGTACATCAGAGATGATTGACAACCACTAAGCCAATGATCGAGCGATATTGTGGAGATTGTCAGCCTCTAGACCAATGTGTGACAGATAGTGGACCGTGGTACAGGTAGATTCTCGCGAGAATAGCCGGCGGGCTGGAGCCAGCGCCATTTTGTGGTGTTCCTGGGCGCGGTTGTTGGAGGTAGTGTGGTAGTGCCAACGTAATTTGTCTGTGTTCTGAACGCTCAGGTCGGAACCATTCGATACGATGGCACAGGAGGACGGTAATCAGCACCGAGATGTTTTCAGTGCTGGAGATGAGTGCGGCTCCGGGCCTTGTTCCCCGGGCTTTTCTTCCGGTTTGTGAGCGTCTTTCGTCCGCGGCACAACGAGACTTCGGGATGTCTATTTGATGTTTGGGGGGGAGGGAAGGGAATGTTGATGGTGGTGAGGGAATGGTGGGCCGGGGAGGGATGGAAGAGGATATGTCGGTGGTGGGCGGGGGGG